ATTTTGGGGGTCTCACCGCGCTCCCCCAGGTGCAGGGGGGGTCAGGGATGATTTTGGGGATGATTTTGGGGTGAATTTGGGATATTTTGGGTCATTTTGGGGGTCTCACCGCGCTCCCCCAGGTGCAGGGGGTCGGGGATGATTTCGGGGTGGATTTTGGGATGAATTTGGGATATTTTGGGTCATTTTGGGGGGTCTCACCGTGCTCCCCCAGGTGCAGGGGGTCGGGGATGATTTTGGGGTGAATTTGGGATATTTTGGGTCATTTTGGGGGGTCTCACCGCGCTCCCCCAGGTGCAGGGGGTCGGGGATGATTTTGGGGTGAATTTGGGATATTTTGGGGTCTCACCGCGCTCCCCCAGGTGCAGGGGGTCGGGGATGATTTCGGGGTGGATTTTGGGGTGAATTTGGGATATTTTGGGGGTCTCACCGCGCTCCCCCAGGTGCAGGGGGTCGGGGATGATTTCGGGGTGGATTTTGGGGTGAATTTGGGATATTTTGGGGTCTCACCGCGCTCCCCCAGGTGCAGGGGGTCGGGGATGATTTCGGGGATGATTTTGGGGTGAATTTGGGATATTTTGGGTCATTTTGGGGGGTCTCACCGCGCTCCCCCAGGTGCAGGGGGGGTCCCGGCTCCTCCAGCCCCGCCCCCAGCGCCGCCCGCTCCGCCATCGACTTGAGGCTGCTCAGCGGCTCCGGCGCCTGAAATTCCCAAAAATTCCCAAATTCCCCAATTTCCACCCGAAACTCACCTTCCTCCCAGAATTCCCTTTCTTTTTACCCCAAAATTCCCATTTTTTACCCCAAAAATTCCCATTTTTTACCCCAAAAATTCCCATTTTTTACCCCAAAAATTCCCATTTTTTACCCCAAAAATTCCCATTTTTTTACCCCAAAAATTCCCATTTTTTACGCCAAAATTCCTAATTCTTTTCCCAAAACTCCAAGATTTTTTCCCCCAAATTTCCCAGATTTTTTCCCTAAATTCCTGAATTTTCTCCCCAAATTCCCTTTTTTCTAAAATTCTTGACTTTTCCCCTGAAATTCGCATTTTTCCCCTCGAAATTCCTAAATATTCCCCAAATTCCCAACTTTTCCACCCAAAACTCACCTTCCTCCCAAAACTCCGATTTTTTACCCCAAAATTC